ACCTAGAATCATATTTGCTTTTTTTGCAACAGCATCACACTGTTGACTCATATTCAACTTGTGGTCCACTATGACCCCTAGATCCCTTTCTGCCATGCTCCTTCCTAGACAGTCGCTTCCCATCTTGTATGTATGGAACTGATTGTTCCTTCCTAAGTGGAGCACTTTGCATTTCTCTTTATTAAACCTCATCCTGTTTACCTCTGACCATTTCTCTAACTTGCTAAGGTCATTTTGAATTATGTCCCTATCCTCCAAAGAAGTTGCAACCCCACCCAGTTTGGTATCATCTGCAAACTTAATAAGCGTACTCTCTATCCCAATATCTACATCATTGATGAAGATATTGAACAGTATGGGTCCCAAAACAGACCCTTGAGGAACTCCACTTGTTATCCCTTTCCAGCAGGATTTAGAACCGTTAACAACAACTCTCTGACTACGGTTATCCAGCCAATTATGCACCCACCTTATCGTGGCCCTATCTAAGTTATATTTGCCTAGTTTATCAATAAGAATATCATGCGAGACCGTATCAAATGCCTTACTAAAGTCTAGGTATATGACATCCACCGCTTCTCCCTTATCCACAAGGCTCGTTATCTTATCAAAGAAAGCTATCAGATTAGTTTGGCATGACTTGTTCTTCACAAACCCATGCTGGCTATTCCCTATCACTTTATTACCTTCCAAGTGTTTGCATATGATTTCCTTAATTACCTGCTCCATTATCTTCCCTGGGACAGACGTTAAACTGACCGGTCTGTAGTTTCCTGGGTTGTTCTTATTCCCCTTTTTATAGATGGGCACAATATTTGCCCTTTTCCAGTCTTCTGGAATCTCCCCTGTCTGCCATGATTTTTCAAAGATCATAGCTAAAGGCTCAGATACCTCCTCTATCAGCTCCTTGAGTATCCTGGGATGCATTTCATCAGGACCTGGTGACTTGCTGACATCTAACTTTCCTAAGTGATTTTTAACTTGTTCTTTGTGTATCCTATCTTCTAAACTTACCCTCTCTCTGCTTGTATTCACTACGTTAGGCACACCTCCAGACTTCTCGGTGAAGACCGAAACAAAGAAGTCATTGAGCATCTCTGCCATTTCCAAGTTTCCTGTTACTGCTTCTCCCTCCTCACTGAGCAGTGGGCCTACCCTGTCCTTGGTCTTCCTCTTGCTTTTAATGTATTTATAAAAGGTCTTCTTGTTTCCCTTTATGCCTGTAGCTAGTTTGATCTCATTTTGTGGCTTTGCCTTTCTAATCTTGCCCCTGCATTCCCGTGTTGCTTGCCTATATTCATCCTTTGTTATTTGTCCTAGTTTCCATTTTTTATATGACTCCTTTTTTATTTTGAGATCATGCAAGATCTCCTTGTTAAGCCAAGCTGGTCTTTTGCCATATTTTCTATCTTTCCTACACAGCGGAATTGTTTGCTTTTGGGCCCTTAACAACGTCCCTTTGAAATACTTCCAACTCTATGAAATACTTCCATAACAATTTAAATAAAAATTAACTAATAGGTATTATGGTAACACACATCTGAACAAGTGCACGACATCAATAGTGGTGCACAAGACAAAACTCGCTCTGCTCACAGATGGAAAATCTCAGAGGGAACACTGCATGCCACCCTTATTTCTGCACTGCTGCTTTCAGAATTGGATGACCAGACAGTGGCAACAGCTGACTGAGGGCCCAGCTGTGCATGAAGCAGCCAAGTACAGGAAAAACTCCAATAGACTAGCATCCAGTTGTCCGGAACTCCTGATAGTCCGGCATCAACTGGAACCCGGAACTGCTGAGGTCAGCCGCTCTCACAGCCGGGACACTGAGCCGCATGCGCTCTCACAGCCCACGTCATTCTGCTCACGGTCCCCAGCGCACACAGCGTCCAGCCTGCACGTGCTAGCAGCCAGCCGCTGAGCACAGGCAGCTGCTTCAGGACCTGGACATAAGGTTGGGGGAGAAGGGGATTGGGTGACAGCTGGGAGGGGAGGTTTTTGGCTCAGGGGAAGGAGAGGGGGACTGGGTTGTGCACAGCATCCCGGCCAGCTCATTGAAAAGCCAGCCGCTCAGCGCACGTGCCCCAGCGCCTGGAGGGAGACGTGCAGCTGTATCAGCAGCTCCGGGACCCAAGCATAAGGTGCTGGGGAGGGGAATTGAGAGTATGCCCCCTTATAGTACCTCCTGGTACTCCGGCATATCCGATAATCCGGCACCACCTAAATCCCAGAGGTGCTGGATTATCGGAAGTCTACTGTAGTAAGAGTGACAATACCATACCACGGCATCCTAACTTCTGTGCTGCTGCTGGCAGCGGCTATGCCTTCAGAGCTGGACTTTGAGCCAGCAACTGCTGCTTTCCAGCTGCCTAGTTCTGAAGGCAGCACCACCAGCAGCAGCGCAGAGGTCAGAGTAGCAGTACCACTATCTCCATACAATAACCTCCCCCCTCAATTCCTCTTTGAATCAGGACCCCCTACACATTTACAATACCATAAAATTTCACATATAAATAGCTGAAATTGATTATTGAAATCAAATGGATCATTTAAAAAATCCTATAACCATGAAACTGACCAAAGTGGACCATGAATTTGGTAGGGCCCTAATCATAGTGTAGAGGTTCATCACACTAGTGGCCAATACACACTGAGCTCTTGGGTGGAAGATATTCAGAATTACTCCCAAGCAAACCATTCATCCACTTCAGGAGCTACAATGTAAGACTCCAGAGAGCAACATCCAGTTCTGCTCAGCACCTAACCTAGGAGGGTAACTGAAAAATATGAAGTATTTTCTAGGTTCTAAGGACACCAGAGAGGAGAGGCTTTTATATACAGGCAGTCCCCGGGTTACGTACAAGATAGGGACTGTAGGTTTGTTCTTAAGTTGAATCTGTATGTAAGTCAGAACTGGCATCCAGATTCAGCCGTGGTTGAAACTGATCAGTTTCAGGAGCGGCTGACGCCAGTTCCGACTTACATACAGATTCAACTTAAGAACAAACCTACAGTCCCTATCTTGTACGTAACCCGGGGACTGCCTGTATATAAAAGCCTCTCCTCTCTGGTGTCCTTAGAACCTAGAAAATACTTCATATTTTTCAGTTACCCTCCTAGGTTAGGTGCTGAGCAGAACTGGATGTTGCTCTCTGGAGTCTTACATTGTAGCTCCTGAAGTGGATGAATGGTTTGCTTGGGAGTAATTCTGAACTGGTCTGCTGGGGGGAGGGGCACTAGTTGCACGTCTCCCTGGTCTGCTCGGGGGAAGCAGCTAGTGCGTGGTTGCCTCACCCCGTTTGTAAGTAGGGATCCGATGTAAGTCGGATCCATGTAACCTGGGGACTGCCTGTACTTATTTAATTGGGCTGGCTAAAACAATTTTCAAGTTTATAGCTAAGTGTCATATTTTATACATTGCAATTACTTGAAATACCCTCAACTCTCTACTCCTAGGAGGTCACAAGGAGACAACTCAAATAACTTGAGTTGAAATAACTTGCAGAGATTGATACACAATAAGCAGTTAAATCCCAAAAGAAATGTGCTATGCCTCAGTTTGCATAGTAGGGTTTTCTGTCCCTGTGAATAAGCTAATTGCACAGAAAGGAGATGATGTGGAGCATCAGTGTAATATGCTTATGCTATGAGAGATGTAAACAATTGTAATAAAAGGAACAAGTATAGCAGCGTTGTCACCTGAAGAATTTGTTTGGCTAAATAAGTAGTTGGCTTACTCATAGTGAATCCCTCCGCCCCCAGCAGACCAGGGAGACCGGGAGAAGCTTTTTTCGCCCCGGAGGACAGGGGTGGCGACCCGCCGCCCGTGAGCTCAGGGGCGAGAAAAGCCCCATTCGTAAGTGCAGATCTGACATAAGTCGGATCCGCGTAAGTCGGGGACTGCCTGTACAAAGAATAGTATTTTTCAGTATTTTTTTTATTTTATTTTTCCGAAGTTCAAGTTAGAAACACAGTGAAGTAGTCATTGTACAAAACAGCCACGTTGTTTAAAACTTAAATATCTGTGCAAAATTTTTAGTTAATGTCCATTCCTTCACTTAAACTCAACTAAGAAAAATTCTCTTATTGGTAGACTTTTCAAGATCTCATTAAGTGACATAATTTTGGGCCAGATTCGGGCCAGCTTCTGATCTTGTTCTTCTGGTTGAGTAGTACTTTTATTCCACTGGTAGCCCCACTATTATGGTGGATGGTACTATTCAACATGAATGAGGGTAACATAATCTGGCCCTATGTCAATTACTCTACAATTATTTATTTATGCAGATCAGTGTTATCCTTCGTGTGTGTGTGTGTGTGCGCGTGCGCGCGCACACAATTTTGGCAGTCAAGATTTCTTTTTCTAGAATTATGTACATAAAAGCCTCTACTTAGGAAAAAATAAAATGTATTTTAAGACTAAGAAATGAGGATTATTGGTAAAATACTGATGAAAGCCCAAGTCCACCTACATCTCCTGTTTTTAGGCTCATATACCTTTTCCCTTATTTAGATCAGCCCTTGGAAGCTTGAGATTAATTTCTTCTTCCTCCCCTTTGCCTACCCAGTCACATGTTATAGTTATCTTTAAATAGCCTTATTTTAAATCTGTAATAAAATAAAAGCAGTGGAAAACTTATGTTTGGAAAGAAGTGTACATAAAGCCCAAGAACTTTGCAAATTGATAAGATTAAAAAAAGTACAGTAAGCTTTCTGGTAGTACAAAGTACAGTGAACCTGACAACCTTGAAAAAGCCTTTTTACAATACTGTCAAGTGCCATTATCCTTTGTCCAACAACTACATTATCTCATAAGGCAGATTTATAATAATCCAACAAGAGCACATTGTAAAATCAGCAGTAAAGAAAATTACAGACTTGTCTACGCTACAGAAAACAGTTTGTGAGGGTTTGAGGTCACATTCAAAACTAAAAATTAAATATCAATCACATTTACGTTAAGCTAAGAATCGTACATTAACACAATTTGCACATACCATTCTGAAGAGTCTGTGCTCGTGATTCCTTTCCCAAACTGACATGGAATCCACCTCCTAATGATGGTGTTTTACCAGCACCTATGGGGGGGGGAACCACAAAACCCAACAAATATCAGATAAAATTAAAGGATTAAAATGAATATTACAATGCACCCTTTTTATTCAATAATTTTGCAATGTATGAGCGGCTAAAATTATGATCTGGTACAGGTGGTGGCATACGGGCTTGAGAGATGAAAGGCAAAGCCTATAGACCCAGTGCAATTTACTCTTTTCCCACAATCTCTCACCCAGCTACTCCAAAATTAGCCAGTGCAATAATGAGCCACCCCTTGCTCCAGAAAGAACATTAAGTTAGTCACAGTCTAGTCCTAAATTTTAAGATTTTCTCTCAGTAAACCACAGAACAATTGCTCCGTTGTTTGAGAAAAGGTTATATATTGAATTTTTAGTAGCTAAACATGTACATTTACAGAACAAGAAATGTAGTAAGTATGCAAAAGATTCTACACACCTTGTACACTGAAGTCAAGCACACATACTGTAGTTTGGGTTACACAAATGCAGGACTGAAATGCAGAGTCAATGCAGCAATTCAGATATTAAAAAGAAAGTGGAAGGTTAGAAAATAAAAAGCCTGAGAAAAGTTTTAGACAACGAGGCTGTGTCTACATTGGCAAGATTTAGCCGCCTGTCTACACTGGCCGTGAGTATTTGCGCAAGTACACTGACGTTGTAATGTACAAAATCAGTGCTTCTTCCGCAAATACTCTGATGCTCCCGCTCAAGGATAAGTCCTCTTGTGCAAGTGTTCTTGCACAGGAGGCCAGTGTAGACAGGTAACATCAATTTCTTGCGCAAGAAAGCCCGATGGCCAAAAAGGCCATCGGAGCTTTCTTGTGCAAGAGAGCCTTCTACACTGGCATGGATGCTTTTGTGCAAAAGCAAATCTTTTGCACAAAGGCACATGCCAATATAGACGCTCTCGTGCGCAAATACTTTTAGTGGAAAAACTCTTCCGTTAAAAGTATTTGCGCAAAATCATGCCAGTGTAGACGCAGCCCTAGTGTTCAACCAGTGCTGAAGCAGTTACCACTATACTAGCTACTGCTATAACAAAATAGCCTCACTTGATCAGCCAAATAGCCACATGTGGCTAGCATGCTGGACACCATGGTTTTTAGATTCACTCTTGCCTTGCTAAACTGAGTGGCTTCAAGGTGAGCAGGCTGCTTGAAATCAAGGAAGTAAGAGTTATAGAACTGGCTCCCTAAATTATTCATGATGAACACTTGCATCCTTTCACTAAAGATAATTTTTTTCAAAAATAACCATGAGGTTACCTCAAGCAAAAAAAAGGGAGAAAATCAACTTTAATAGCAAATCAGAGCAAAATGCTAAAAATCCTACAGTACTACTGTTAAGTAGTTATTATCAGAAGACTATTTTGTATTCCAATAATCCTCTCTTTACAATATGCAAAGGAGAAAATATCCTGTTCCTAACATCTAAAGATGTAAAATCCTGTTTAATCAATTCACCAATTAAATGGGATCTCACGGGTGGGGTAGTGCCGCTTGCACGGGTGGGGTAGAGCCCTAAGGGGGCTCCCAGTTACCTGTTCACATCCCTACTATCAACCACCCGTTGCTCCAAAATTCATGGAGCTTCATTCTTCCATCTGAGTACAGCTGTACAAAACAAACTCTCAAGCCAAACAACACTTTGGACTGAGCCTCTAGCTCGTGAGATACTTCTCTCCCTTACATATTACTTAGAAGCAATCTAAGTCATTTTCTCTCACATGTGGGCTGGTTATGCTACCTCCCCAATAATGTAAGTTCAAGAAGTGAAGAACTGAACTTCAATGCCAGATTGTTTCAGCCACATGGAAATATGCTGCACTGCTACTGACTTTCTGGACAGTGTCCCCTCTTAAATGCTTAAATTAAATTAATTGGAAAGATGCACAAAACAGAAGACAAAAAAGTTAGAGAACACATTCCTATGTAAGCTTTCTGCACAATCCTTTTAAACTTGATTTCCACACAAGGATATATTACTCTTTTAATCTGGTCAGGTTTTCAATGCTCTCCAGTCACTATGGTAACAAACCAATTTCAACAGCCCCTTCTTTAAGAAGCTATTTTCAGCCAAACACTTCAAAGGCCCTGGATGTGAAACTTAATCTTATAGCTCACAATCCTCACAAGGAACCATAACACTCACCAGGGACACTTGACTTCCAATATGAGCCTACGATGCACTCGGGCGTGCTGCAGACAGGGGCTGCTCTGGCCAGGCTAGAGTGCCTCTGTCCGCAGTGGACTCCAAGGGGCTGAAGCACATGCCTGCCTATGGCAGGCAAGGAGCTCCTCAAGCCTCCCATATGTTAACCAAACCAGTAAATGCTTACAGGTTAACCAGTTAACCTTTCACACCCCTAGTATGCATTAGGTATGTCAATGTGTAGAAGAAGACTACACAACTATCTGATAAGCCTGGTCTTAACTACAGGCTGCCCCCGACTTGTGACGCGATCAGTTATTGAAGAGTGTCGCAAGTCGGGAGACGTTGCAACTTGAGCCTACATTTACGATAGTTGTCATGCGCTATTGTAAATATGGGGCTGAGGACGTAAGTCAGGAGATCTCGGCCCCTTCCACACTTATGGAAAAGATCGTAAGTGCAGGAGGTCGTAAATCGGGGGCCTCCTGAACATGCATTAGCCCCTTGCTGCCTCTGTATCAGAGACAGCAAGGGCAAGGGAGCAGGAGCCTGTGCAGAGGCAGCACAAAAGGGGCAAGCAAGAGCTCACTACACTCCATCCCATACTTAAATTTCTTACAAGTTGATTCCCCCAGTACCAGCTCTGCAGAGCCACCTGTCCTCTCCTGCTCTATCAGAGGCAGTAGCACAGAGCTGGGAGGCAGGAGAGGCTGCCACAAAAAAGCCTCTGGTCTGCCGTGGGCCCAGGCTTGCCACGGACCGAGGCTGGTCCACA